ATGGGAATCAATTTGACTAATACATACACTGCATAAAAGAGGGTATTTAACCATCAAAAGGATGTTTTTTCCCCTGAACTGGAGAACAAGAGCAATCATTTCAGCTAGAGTTTCTCTATGGCAGTTGGAGAGAAGTGATGGCTTCCCCATGGATTAACATTTCCTGACTTTGCTCTTCACACAAAGGTTACAACTACTTATGTTATATGCAAGTTATGCATAATAATTAGAAACAGGGCACACTGTCTAAATCATCATACTTGTTAGCATTTCAGTGCAGACATCATTTTAATCCTTGCATTTCTAATGTCAACAGTAGCCGCTTAGAGTTGTCATTGAAATCTTTAATTTCTCTCCTCTTTCTATTGCATCTGTGTACACACATTGTTCATTGATTAGGGTTTGGCATTTCTTCTAGGTTTTTATAACCTTGCAGTAGATTTATGCACACAAGAACTTAAACTGGCAACCTAGTACATGTTATACAAGAGAGGTTATATTTGAATGAAAAGTATTGAAGTTCCTATCCTATTCAGCAGGATTATATAGATAATAAAGGTCAGCTGTGGTACATACTACTAAGTTAACATGCAAAAAAATGTGTAGTAGTAGTTGTAGTAGTATATGATGGGAAGGGTTTATTTATAATAAAAGCAGGTCATACTCTAGGATACCAGTAGACAGTGATAGTGGATTATTGTAGGCTTATAGGTAAACCATTTTCATGTCAGATAAAACAATCAATTTAAACTGGAGTCAGATTCTCAAATCCTAACAAAGAAAAGAAAAATACCTGAGGAGGTTTAGAAAGAAGCTTTCATAAGAGCTTTGAGCTGGTGTGGCTGTTTCCATCAGCAGGTTTCTTGGTAGTGGGCCTATCCACTCATATTAAACTCATACTGAAAGTCTTGACAGTAACAATGATTTTGGCACATCAAAAATATAAGTATTTTCTGTGATGTCCCATAGTCAGTACAAACTAACTAAATCAGAACATTCTCTGATAATTAAAAATAAATATTTTTAGTTTTCATGACCAATAATTGCCTCTCTCACCATTCTTCCAGATTTTCTGTAGTTTGGAAAAGGGGAAAGAATTTCTCTTCTCTGTAGTTTCCCTATGGAAGGTGATGAGTGTTACAAGGTACTTAAGGCCCTGTAAAAGTCAGTTCTGAAACACAGTTCATGCATTACTTATGAGTTTTCACTGAAATGTAAATCTGAGCGATTTTCATTTGTTCCCTTGGTCTTAAATGAAACATTTACTGAGTCCAAGGAATCATTCTCAGAGCTCAGATTCTAGAGAGAAGTGTGTGGTATGGTAAAAATTATTAATAAAAAATACATACATGTCCAGACAAATAAAGCTTCTACACTAAAAAACTTCACATTTGTCTGTATTAATGTTTAATGCATTTGTAAAAGCAGTCCTGCTTTGCAGGAAATAGCCACAAAAGTGTCCTGCAATCTACTAGCACTTATGATCACAGCATGGGTCCAAAGAGGATTGTCAGAAATGCATGATCCATGTTTGATAGATCAGAGGAACCATACAGAGTATATTAAAGTCATATTATAGCTGCTGAAAGGAATGCAAAAATATTTCTGGATTAGCTCTAAAATTAGAGGTTAACATCATTTGATTGGCTTAAGCACACAGCATATTAGCAGTAGGTATTGCTAAGAAAACTCAGTTATGACCTACAGAAACCAATTACACAAGAGGGAACTAAAAGAAAATTTAAATTATGCAATCATAATGTTTTATAAGTGACATGTCTTTCTAACATAATAATATAAAAATATTGAAATAGTATAGTGTGTTCTACCATAACCAGTTTACATCCATGGTATTGAGAACAAAGCACAGTCAGAGTTTCTTAGGCAGGTTTAAAAAATGCCTAGTAATTTATCTGGACCTTTTGCCTGCATCTCTGAGTTAATAAGATATGTAGCATTTGAAAAACAATAAAACTTAGCATCCAGGCAAAATATACTTGCTCTAGCATTTTTTCAGATGATTTTACGAAGGGTTATTTCAGTAATATTGCTTTTGTTCTTACATTTGTGTCCAGGTAGGAGCATCAATATCTGCAAGTGCAAAGGAAAATATTTCCATTTATCTTCACAACATATTCCAATTTCAGTTGAAAAAGACATTTACAATGGGGTTTTGTATCTAAAGACTATCGATATCAGTAGAAGTTAAAGCACTGAATTAAGTAATTGCACAGAATTTTAAAGTGCTAATATTTGAAGTAAATGTGACCCCAAGTAAACACAATAGATGCAGACACCTTGTGAAAATGCAAGCTCAAGCTATTCTCCCTTGAAAGATAAAAAAGGGCAGGGGATCTCAGCATAGTCCCAAGCTTGTTATACATATACACACATGACTAGTTATAATCTGAACTTGAGACTTGAATTCTTTCTTATTGAACAAAAGCTTAATCCTTCCAACTCCTTGGGGAAATACCCTTAAACAGGTGAAAATAAAATACAATTAACAAAGAAGTGAAAGGAGATGAGGAGCCCTTTGAGACTGTAATGAAAAAAAAAAAAAGGCAAAACAAATTAAATTTTCCAACCTGAATAAATCTTTGTAGCAAACATTAAAACAAAAAAAGGATAAGAGGAAGAAATTAAATAGATCCAAAATTATGAGTGCAGTAGAAAACACAGAACAATAAACTTGAAATCAGCCTCTTGGGAAAAGATTAGAAATAAGAATAGTAAACTATATGAGAAGTATTTTGTAGAAACTGCATCTTGTTCAAAAATAAAGCAATCTAACCTGTCTTTCCAGATGCAATTTTCTACAGTTTAATTTGGTAGGCTAAGTATTGGTTTTGAACTTTCAGCTGATTTCTGTCTAACTAGCTTTAATTGTTATGTTTACTTCTAATTGACATTCAGCAATTCCATGAGTTATTCACTATGTGAAGAGGCTCAAAAATATCTTGAAGCCAGAGCAACCAACTCAAATGCTCTTCAAATTTCCTCAAAAATGTTAAAGTTCCATAATGGCTGCAAACTTTTACTATCAAAGGAGGAGTCCAGAATTACTTATAATCCACTCTTGTAGCTAATGGTTCCCAAACAAGAGAAGCAAAGCATACCACCATGTCTCCAAAATTGTTTATGACTGAACTGTAGTTTTTAAGATAAGAGTATATCCAAATATATGTCGTGATTAGGAATGTCCTTTTGTGCAGTGTGCAAAATTCACTTGTGTGTGTACAGCAATTGGTTTTAAAGAGCCAAGGGACAAAGAAGATACTGAACATTTCCAAAAAAAATATGGTGAAGGCTGTCACACTAAGATTCTTTCCTATCTGATTCCCTAAGATTACAGTCTCCATAAGGGCAAATTCCTGTTTATAGGACAGAATGGGCAGAGTGTTGAAGCACTGGAATATCAAATCCTTTATCATTAATTTGGCAGCTAGAAATTAAGCCAAAGTCTCCAGTTTATACTTGAAATCAGAGAAAGAAATATCCATGGGTGTCTTTATTCTAGTTTCAGTGTGCACAGTAATGAAGCAATGGAGAGGCAGTCACAGATTGGCAGCCATGTACTTCAATCCTCAGTTTGAAATTTAGTTATTAGTGCCTGTGGTTGTTGTATATGTAGATACAGAGATACAAGTATATTCATTTTATTCTTAGTGTACTGCAATCACACCTACATTTTACTTTGTAGTTATACCTTCAGGGAATAGCTTTCAGGAATATTATGCTGGGAAACTTCCCAGGAAAATGTCATTAAATGTCTGCATCTTCTCTCCTATCCCTCTCTTCCTCCTGAAATTTTCTCCTTCACATCAAAAGTTTACTGTTACTTTGAAGTAAGAGGAATCAAAGAAAAGAGAGAAAGCTGGCTCTATCAGAGCCAGTGTTGAAAAGTTCCTGAGGATGTGGGAGAGATGAAAGAAACTGGAATTGTTTCAATCAAAGATAAGAAGTTGGAGGTGGGAATGCAAGGATTTTTGGACAAGCCTGTGGAAAGATGGGGGGAGTCATACATATATTTACACACATATTTGAGGGGTGAAAGGAAGTAAGATAGCGCAAAGTTTCTGAAATCTACTTCAATATGTTATTCATTAAATCCTTGTTTTGCCTCCTTTCAGTCAACTTCTTGGTACTATTTCAAAAATGAATCCAAGCTTAAATAAAAGAGTCATAGAGAATCTCTGCAAAGCCCTTCAAAATGAGTACAATAAATGACAACTTTCTGGAGTGACAGAAAGACGATGTTGAGATGTTTAAGCATCTCATCCATTTCAAACCTTTCTTCAAAAATATTTCAATCTTTATCAGTTCCTAGAACTAAAAAGAGTGGACAAATAAATATAACTCTTTAGATTGCAACACTTTTTAAGTATAAATGTAATTTAAAATATTTTTTTATCGCATATCAGATTTTAGTTAGTGGAAGTCAAAGTCAGCAGACTCTGGAAGAAGATAACCAGTTTGGCTCTGAGAAGTTCAGGGCAACTGAGAGGCTCCTCTCAAAGACACAACATACAGATGTCCTGGAACTCACCTGAAAGAAATACTGTCCAATCTAATATGGATTTCTGCAGGTATAAATCCACTTTCTCTGCTTACCGTTTGCAAAACCCACTCATTAAAATTCTAAAAATATTCTTTTAAATCAAAAGGAGGTGTTGGTGCTAATATCCAAGATGTCCCATTTTTGAAGAATCTCAGAAGAGAGACTTTATTCCTTCTCTTCACTACAGGAATAATTAACAAAGATGAAAAAGGAGCGGAAGGCAAAAAAAGCACAGGACTACCCATCACAGTCACAAAGAAATCCTATGAGTCTGAATTATGTTCAAAATCATAGATGCAGGAATATCAGAGATATAAAGCTATGCTACTAATTACTGCTTCCATGAGCAACACCAACCTGAAAGTCAAGTTGCACTCTCTTTCCCTCATCACAGCCTGACACAGAATATCCAGTTAAAAACGAAACTGAGAAACCATACCATCAACAGATGAGATGTCTATTCTGCTTGGGGCCAAAAGGGGTAACAATCACTGATTTCCTTGAATTCTTCAATTCCAAACTTTCCTTCCATTGGATTCTCTTCACAAACTTCTGCTGACATCACTGCATAGATTATAGGGTCTCCTCTCATAACCTGGAAGGGAAGAAACATCATGCCCAATGATTCAAGCCTAATCAAACTCATTCATATTACTGCCATTTGATATTTCATAAGAGGAATTATAATCATCTTCTGAACAAATATAGAGGCTGTTATATGAGGATTGCAGGGTAATTCGGCTTGGAAGGGATCTCAGGATATTTCTAGTCCAACCTCCCGCTCAAAGCAGAGCCAACTCTAAGTACTGATTCCTGGAACCTGACTCCATCTCTTTCATGACCTCTCTGGCACTGAAAGCTGATATTAAGTGTCACCATAGCTACTGTGCCATCTCTTCTCCAAGTTGAACAAGCCCAGTTCCCTCAATTGCTGCTCACAGGACAAGTGCTACAGCCCACCCCCCATCTTTAAGGTAATTGAATATTAAGAATAATATTCTAGATGGAAATAGGACACATCAAAAATGCCTTCATTCATTCAGGAACAACTTATGGAAGAAATACTACAGAAAGGTTAGAAATTAGGCAAGATGTGGCACTACACTCTATACTGATGTAGTTAAGTCTCAACCTGCTATATTGAAAGTATTGCTCTAGAATCTCTTATAATTCATAAAATCATAAGAAAAGTCAGGTTGGAAGATGATCTAGCCAACTTCTGCCCAAAAACAAGGTCAAATGTGAAGTCAAGGTTCTAATTCTTCAGTCATCTATTATCATGGGCAGCAGATGAAGAATTCAACCTTATTTTCAAAAATTCCATTTCTTGCTAACTCACATTTCATTATAGGATTCTAAAGAACGAAAATATTTCATTATGAGCATGAAAATTGTAAGGCAAGAGGGAGGGGAAGCCATCTGTAGCAGAATACACTGCTCCTGTTTACATTCTCCCATCAGTTTGTTTACAGTGAACCCTCCTGAACCTCTCCTTGTTAGATAGGATGCCTTCCCTTTGTGTTAAGCAGGCTTATGCTTAAAGTCAGAATGAGCAGATGGAAAGAAAACTTTTAACAACAAGAATGCTCCTCCATTGTACTTATGATAACAAAACAGTACAAAGTGTCAGCAGCAGGCAGAGTCTCCTGCCATCTACAATATTAGGTATATTTCTGGTTTTCTCCAATCCAGAGTAGGCTGTTTCTGAGCAACTTGAAACATGCAGAAAATGATTTTAAAAAAACCTAGTCAACTGAGGACAAAATTCAAAGGAAGTCTTTCATTCCATGTCCTATCCTTTTGTGTATAATAAACACAAAAGAAGCAGTCACCCTACAGCCTTGGATCAGAGGTAGTGCACAAGTACAATTCATTTATGTCCCCACTTGCTGTTTTGCAGTCAGGGCACCTGAGGCACAGGCAGGAAAAGAAACAAATGCCTCAAACAGGCAATTAGAACCTGCTTCTAGCCAACCCCTTCAGTGCTGAATTCAGACACAGCAGCTGGCACAGCAGTTTCTGGAGCCTGCTTCTAGATCTTCCTGAGCCCCTGGCATGGCTGGGGGACTGCTGGGTACTTTTAGGGGCACCAAGGTTCCTGCCACTGCCAGGTAAGGATAGCTACAGGAGACTGAAATCTCTAGCAAGCTCTAGCAGCTTCTAGCAAGATCCCACAGCTGCTCTTGGTCAAACGTTGTTCTAGTTCTAATCAGGATATTAGGAAGGGTCAAGCATCCTTTCAGCAGGAGCTACAGAGAGGAATGGAGTACATTAGCTTGTGAAAAAGGGGTTAAAAAAATTTTATATGGGCGTAGCCAGCAGTAATAACATGGCATAGGGCACAGTGACAAAAGCAACTAATCCTGCTATCCTCTGGTTGCTGAGAACTGCTTGGAAGTAGCAGGATCCACTCAACAAGGGGAGCAAAAGGAAAGGAAAGCTTCAAACCAGGAACAAGGGGCCAGGAAGATGGCAACTGCCAATGCAGAAAGGAAATGATGGGTGGGGTTGGCAAGTATGCAATGTGATGTGGACAGGAAACACCTCAATCTGACCTGAAGAGGATGCCTCAAATCTATGCAAACAAATGAAGTGCCAACAGGACAGCAGATTGCAGATGTTTTCTCTGAAATCAGTAAGCTGGTGCTTCTCTGAAGTGCCTGTACAACAGTTTGCAGCATGGGGAACAGGCAGGAGTAATTAGATGTCTGTTACAGGGCTACAACCTCCTTTGGTTAGAGATGTGGGGCAGCTCACTCAAGTGCTGCAATGGGTGAACACAGACTTATTAGGAAACTTTATTAGGAATGGTGGATCCAGATGCATCCACCATTTGGATGGGCAGGATTGTGAGGAGGGAGAATTGCCCTTCATGTGAAAACAGCAGATGGGTGATGAGCCAGCTGACAGCTTGTAAGTCAGAAGCATTGGGCAAACCAAAATCAGTAATATCATGAGGAAATACTGGATTTTGTGGCCTTCTTTAGACAGCTGTAATAAGCCTCACATACATAGGCCCTCATGCTTATGCAGACTTCAACCATTTTTCAAGGATCGTTTCCCTCCAAACTCAAGAATGGTCCACCCCAATGTGCAGAAAGTCAAACAAAGGTAGCAGAGAGCTCCTGAAAATCTCAACTACAAAAAAATAATAAGAGGTGGCAGAAGGGACATTTGACCCAGGAGGAATACAGAGATACAGTCCAAGTGTGGAATGATGGTGTTAGATACAACAAAACCCATCTGGAGCTGAATGTGACTGGGAATCGACAAAGTAATAGGCCTCACTTCAATCTCTGAGAAAGTAATGAAGAAAAAAATTGGAAGTACTTTCCAAAAATATGAAAGAAAAGGAGAATAGTCAGTATGCGTTTATGATCACATTTTTATATTGACTTTAGCAAGGATTTTGACACTTTCTCCCATAACTTTCTCACAGACATATTGATGAAATATGGAGTAGATTAGTGGATAGTAAGCAAGGTGAATTGAAAACTGGTTGAACTGGCAGGATCAAAGGGCTGTGATCTGCAGCACAAGGTCCAGGTGACACTGACCCCTAACTCTGTCCCCCTGGGGCTGATACTGGAGCCAGTGTTGGTTAACATGTTCATTAATTACCTGTAACATGGGCCTGAGTGCACATGAACAGGAGGAGTGGCTGGTACACCACATGTTGCCATTTCAGAGCCCCCACAACAGCCTGGACAAATGAGCCAACAGAAAGGCCATGAAGAGGGAAGAGCAGAAGCCCTGTATCTAGGAAGGAACAATCCCATCCATCAGCACAAGATGGGGTCTAGCTAGCTTGGAAGAAGCTCTGCAGAGACACTGCAAAGGAGGGAATGAACAACTTGACAATTAACCAGCAATGTGTCCTTGTGGCAAAGGCAGTCAGCAGTCACTGGTTTGTGTTAGGGAGAGTGTTGTCAGAAGGCTGAGAAAGCTGATCCTTCTCCTTCACTCAGCACTGGTGAAACCACTGAGTGCTGGGGGCAGTCCTGGAACCCCCAGTGCAGGAGAGACAGGGACACACGTGGAGCAAGTCTGTTTACAGGCTGTGAGGATGATTAAGGGTCACACAAGGAAAAGCTAGGACTCTTCAACATGAAGAAAAGAAGGCTTACATCTGATCCTATCAGTAAAGAAGGTGGAAACAGACTCTCCTCAGTGGTACCAGCCATAAGTTAAAATACATTAAGTGATGAAGAAGAAGAAAGAAACCCCATATTTTCACTGTGAGGGAGATTAAGAATTGGAACAGGTTTTCCAGAGAGGTTGTGGAGTCTTGGCCTTTGGAGATATTCAAGATCAGATTTAATACAGCCCTGAGCAACCTGCTCTAGTTGTCCCTTTTTGAAAATAGGGGGCTGGACAATCTCCAGATATCCCTTTCTACTCAGGCTCTTCTACCAGAGTCTGTGGTTCTGGGATCAGTTTGGTCACCTTCCCAAACACAAAACCAAAGTGCAGGGACCTTTCATTGTGTTACATGTAGACTTGTGTTCACTTGATGGGAACCCTCATCTGTTTTAGCTACATTACAAGAATGCATTCACATCCATACCAGAAAAGGATCATGACCTACAAGCCCTGGAGTGCTGTAGGAACATGTGTATTCCGCACTGCGCTGGAATCACTGGGAACTGCTGATGGAGGAGATTCTTCTAGTTAAAAAGCCTAAGCAGAGACATTTTAATTAGCTATGGACTCAAAGCTATACTTGCTGGCAGTAGAACTCCCAGGAAGAATTACTCTGATTTACAGTAATTTTCCACTGAGGATTTCAAACTTCACGAAAAAAAACAAAATATAAGTTCATAATATAACAGCAGAGATGAGAAAACTCCCCAGGAAAGTTTTCTGTGCTGGGATATTTTTGTAATATTTTCACATTTTTGCATCCTTTCTCCACTCTGATTACATACAAGACTGTTTTTCCTAACAAAGGATTAGGAAAACTGAAAAAATATTATCATACTCTGTAGAACCAGTGATGAAAAGAAATGGCTGTCCAGATTGCCAGATATTTCTCTTTATCAGATTTTTTTTTTTTTTTTAGCTTGCAGTTTTGAATCAGAAATGGGGAGGGCAAAAAAAAAATAAGAAGAAAAACTAGAGTCTATCCTGTTGACTCGGGCACCTGCAAAGGAAAGTAGAGCTAGAGGTTCATTCTCCTGCTCTGAATTAAACAAAGAATTTAAGTCTCCAGTTAATGCCCTATGGGTTAATTTAGTGGACTATTTTGGTTAGGCAAAAAAACCCAAAAGTCTATAGGGGTAATATGACTTTACTGTGCCTTTACAATATCAAGCACTAAAATAAATCAAAAACTGGCACACTTCAGCTTCTTAGCAGAAAATAACAATTGCATTTTTTAACATTTTATGGAAAAGAGAAAAACAAGCAAAAAAGAAGCTGAAACCTGAAAGGAGGTATTTCTAGATGGGAGATTGTTTGTTTCACCATGGAATCTTTTCTATCACCAAGCACATTGTACAGGATGATAACAGAGCTAGCAGAAGTCCCTTTTAGGAGAGCAAACCATTCTGTGGGTCAACTAAGTTAATTTTAAGAACAAAAGAGAACAAGACAAAATAAGAAGTAGCAACAACATCAAAAAGGTAGAACATATAATAGCTGTTCGTCAATCTTACGCCACATGGTACAGTTATATGATATACATACACATATCTGCAGCCATGTCCTGCATCACTCCTGTTCACACAGGCACATCAAAACTAGCTTTAAGCTAACTGCATAATTGTTGCTGTCAGCATAATCACAGCATCTCAGTGCAGACTAGAACACCTACTGGGGAAATTTACTCAAGACCCATTGGTAATGTTTGCCAAGACCAACACTTCCAGAGCAATACTAATAACTATATTTGAAACAGAACATTTAGCTTCATCTACTGGCACAAGACATCCCTATTCAATACTACTGGAAGATATTCTTTAACACATAATTCATCATGGACAGACAAAGAAAAGGAGCAGATTATAAAGCTGACAAAGAGGCAGCAACCTTGTAAATTTATACCACTTTTACCATCACCTATGAAACATCTATCTGCATCTTTGTTCAAAGGTTCCCAGAACAATATTTCAGAGCAGTCTCACCTGGCTAGGAAGCAGTCAGAGCAGAGGTCAGGGAGCCTGTAAGAGTGAGACATTAATTTCAGACAACCAGACATCCTCCAGGATCCCTTCTTACTCAAAGTGTCTGATCAGTCTCTGTCTCTCTCCCAAGTCCAAGATACTCAAAGCCCCAGATGCCATGAGGGATCTCAGGACATAGCAAGAGCCATGAAATTCAAGCTCTTCAACCTAGCTTTCCCTCCAGAAAGGAGAGAGGTAAATGGATTGACATCTAATTGCTCCAAACACTGTGTTGTTTAATCACCAATTAGACCTCATTTCTCATCTGCTAAGTTCAACCTATTGATTTCCAGTCACACACTCTTCTTGTTTACTGTAAAGACAAAGGCATGCCCCTGTGTGCTCAGAGGAAGCAGGAGCTGTGGCCCCACGTGCAGCCCAGCAGCCCCATCCACACACATCCCTGCCTGTGCCGTGCCCACATGCCCATGTCAGGAGCAGGGCAGGCAGTTTATTGCAGGCATAGCTGCACAATAACAAGTCTGAAAGCTCCAGGCTGGAGCTGGCTCGGAGCAAACATCTGACTAGGCAGATACTACAGTCGAAAGCTGCCCTGAGGTTGTGCCTGCAGAGCTTTCTGTTCGCATTAGTTTTCTGACTTTCTCAGACTTTTCTTAGAATAATTTTACATAACAGATTGGGATGGCACTTGGAGTAGGTGCAGCTACATAACCCTTTATACAGAGGTCGTGTAGAGGCCTCGGTACAGCATAAGTACCAAACTAAAAGCAACACTCATCTTCAGTGCCTGGCTGTCAGCTGGTCTTGAATGAACGTATTTTTAGCGCTTGTCAGTATTCCTGATGCTTAGGCATCTTCCTCAGAAAGTTTTCTAATCATTGTTTCAACAAAGTATTTCAGTTTCAACAAAATAGTAATTCCTGACAAAAAAAAAAAAAAAGGAAAAAAATTGTGCATTCATTAATGCTGAGCAGTTCTACCAGTTTCTTAAAATAAGCAAAAGTAACAGTATCAGAAGCAATGAAGTGCAGTTATATGCATAATAGAGGCAGAAAAAAAAGGCAAAAAGTGACAATGCAGCTAACAAACTCTAAAAAAGGTTTGCATTTATTGCCTGGCTATTTTACATGCTGACCAGTATAAACCTACTGTTTTTGCAAGACATTAATTCATTTCAGCTGCATACTGTACATTTTCTTGTTGCTGTGTTCTTAATGGGTCATTCTTATCTACCATTTCACAGTTTGTACATCTTATTGATACTACAAAATCAAATTCTTAGCAAAAGGATGGCCTGTCATTTTGTGGAAAGTAATCTATACACAGCTGTGCTTCCGTTAGCTTATCTATACCCATCAAATTAATCTGATTACTTCTAAGCTTCCCTAAAGTATTCTGAAGGAGAAAATTCTGTTAGAATTAGGAGTTATGATTTTTATGTCATTCTAATGTGCTTAACAAGATAAATCATTACAGAATTCAAACACTTTGGCAACACATATCCCTGGCAGGGGAATGGACATTAAAATGGCCGCAAAACCAGTTTCTCATGCTCAGGAGACACCCTAGAGGGCTGTCCTGGAACAGAACTACAGTTCTGTATGAGCTTAAGTTAGATAAAACCAGTTGAAGGAAATAAAATAGAATGTTGGAGAACCGACATTTCAGCAGTTCCTATGAAGAAATTAAAAAAATTACAAACCTACCATCACAGATAGCTGTAGAGACACAGGCTGATTAACGAAAAAATATAGTACCTGATCCTGTGTTTGGCTAGATGCTGAAAAGCGAAGTCCCTTTATTTAGAAGAACAAGACGACAAAGATACAATCTGTTTAGAACAAGAATGTAATTTTCAGTTGCATGTCCACTTTCAGCAAGTGCAGTTGCTGCGGGAAAAACAGAAATCGAATCACACTTGCTGCTAAATACATATTTAATTGCTTATGTTTTTTTTATATTTTGTTTTGCACCAGACTGTTTACTCTGCTCATGATGATGTGGAATTAGTGTTGCTAAGGTTTCTGCTTCCTTTAACCAGTCTTAAAGTGCCGCCTAGTGCACGTTTAAGGCAACAGCCTCGCCTAACACAGCAGTGCCAAGGGCTGAGTATGCAGAATATTCTAGCAGATTTTATTTCATGTAAAAACATTTCATTATCTCCCTGCAGCCAATTTCATCAAATTTTAGGGGCTGAAGTGAATTCTGCATCTCTGGGAATGTGTATTAGTAGCAGTTAATCCAGTAAGACTCTGGATTGATGTAACATAAGAAGTCGTACTAGTGCTGTCTAGCCTTCCAACCTGCACAGCTGTGACAGAGGAGGGAGAGCTGGTCGGGGAGGCTGGAGCACTCTGAGACCAGCTCTCAGCACCACTCCCAACAGAATGCTTGCAGTAACATCAACCTAACCCTGCAGGCTGGGCCCTGCCCGGGGGCTATCAGCCCCACAGAGAACAGCCAGGGCCCAGACCCCTTCTGTCCTTCACTCAGCAAGAAAGGATGTGCCCAATGGCTCTGTTTGGACTAAGAAAACAAACCTTAAGGACTGGATTGATCTCTTCTGAGGCTTTGGAAGAGAGCGCCAGGGCCTGATACCCTCCCTGGAGTTACAGCTGACTGCATCAAACTAAGCAGTTACAGCAACAGATACTGCTGAAAACTGCAGTTGTTTAACCACTCACAGACATAGCATTGCACATCATCCCAACTGCTCGTGTTTTCCTTGGGAGTGAACAAAACACCAGTGCTCTGTGGCACTGTGAAGGAAAAGAAGAATTGTTCCTTTTATTTTTAATCACAAAGATAAAGAGCTGGGACTTAGAAACTTGTCAAGAATTACATGAAAAAATCTGAAATTACCTGAGCTTTTAGCTACCTAACATTTGCTTGAACCACAGACTTCTTTCTCCCTTATAAACCATGTACACTCAAAATGAGCTCTGCTTTTCATTCACTAATTAATTTAACACTGCAGTGGTAAAAAGAGCTTGTTTCTCAAATGCTTAAATATTACTCCTGATGTATAGGGATCTACCTGTCTTTTGTGATATGTTGTGATAAGCTAATTTCTTCTGCAGAGCTTTCCTGCCAATAAATTTTAGTGCAGGAAATCACAGAATTCACAGAATAAGCTGAGTTGGAAGGGACCCACAAGGATCCTTAAATTCAACACCCAAGCCTTCAGAGCATCATCCCCAAGAGTCACACCATGTGCCTGAGAGCATCATCCAAACACTTCTTGAATTCTGTCAGGCTTGGTGCTGTGACTGCTTCCCTGGAGAGCCTGTTCCAGTGCCCAACCATTCTCTGAGTGAAGAACCTTTTCTTAATATCTGCCCTAAATCTTGCCTGACACAGCTTCAGGCCACTCCCTTGGGTCCTGTCACTGGGACCCCAGAGCAGAGATCAGAGCCTGCCTCCCCTCTTCCCCTCACAAGGAAGTTGTAACTGCAGTGAGGTCTCCCCTCAATCTCCTCTTCCCCAGGCTGAGCAAGCTGACTGACCTCAGCCATTCCTCATACCCCTTCTCCTCAAGGCCCTTCACTATCTTGTTGTCCTCCTTTGGACACTCTCTAAGAGCTCCCTATCTTTCTTATATTGCAGTGCCCAAAACTGCACACACAGCACTGGAGGTGAGGCTGCCCCAGCTCAGAGCAGAGCAGGACAATCCCTCCCTTGCCCAGCTGGCCATGCTGTGCCTGGTGCCCCCCAGGACAGGGCTGGCCCTCCTGGCTGCCAGGGCACTGCTGACTCACATCCAACTTGCCATGGATCAGGACCCCCAAGTCTCTTTCTGTGGCACTGCTTTCCAGCATCTCATTCCCCAGTCTGAGCCTACGTCCAGCATTGTCCCAGCCCAGGTACAGAATCCAGCACTTTTCCTTGTTGGTGATTGCTCAGCTCTCTCATTTGTTGAGGACTCTCTGCAGGCCTCCCTGCCTTCGAGGGAGCCAACGGCTCCTCCCAGCTTTGCATCAGCTGCAAAGTTGCTCACTCCCATGTCCAAGGCATTTATGAAGATATTAAAGAGCACAGGGCCAAGGATGGAGCCCTGTGGAGCCCCTCTAGTGACAGGTCACCACTCTAATGTCACCCCATTTACTGTAACCCTTTGTGGCTGACCTGTGAGCCAGCTGCTCTCCCATCATATCATGATGTGTTTATTCACCTATGTGCTGGAAATTTGGTAAACTGTTACAATATCTTCAGCTGGATAACTATAAAAAATTATTAAGACAGTCCTTTTGTCATCACTATCACAAATAAACCCAAAACCAATTGAGGATCAATAAATACATCCAGCTGGCAAATCTCAGTGACAAGATGTCCATATAATTAGAACAGCAGCATCTGCTTTCCCCATCCTGCCTCACAGAAATCACTTCGATCTTGCCTCTTTAGATATTTAGCATTTACACTGATGAGATGAATCTAAATTCCCAGGCAGAAGTCACTGTACATATACATCAAGAATATTTTTACTCTTCTTAGTTTTTTTCTCTTCTCTTCGGGATTAAATCAGAGTTCATAGTATGCCTCTGCCTTTTGTGGTTTTATTAATTTGTGCCTAATTACTTATAGAGCTATTTTGGTTTGACATTATTCCTACTTGGGCTCTGTTAAAAGATCTTCAACAGCTGTTCCAGATCAGTGTAAGCATTATTTCACATCCATTTTATCATCAGAATTATTGAAGAGAAAAAAAGCACCTGACTTACTGTGTAGTCCAGGGCAAGTGGTTTTTCTCTCTGCTTAGTTTTTACATCATTACCACCTTCAGAAAGACTTATCAAGAATCACTTTTTTTTCCATTCATACAGTACTAATCGTGCTCAAAAAAAACCTGCCAAGAAAATAACCAGCACTCTTTTATGTGTCTTTTAATGGTGTATTTAAAATTGGTGTAGAGCAGAATCCAAATATTTTAAAGTGTCATTAGACTACAGATAACAGGACCCAAAAGATCATTAGTCCATCTGGTCAAACCAAGACAATAAGACTTCATACTACAAGATTTAAAAACACCCAATAATGTCACAGCAAGAACTGCTATGCAGTAATGAATTAATTTATTTATACTTGCCACAAGCAGCTTGTTCTCTCATTCTCTTCCCTGTAACCAAATTACATATGCAAAGTAGGATCTGGTAAGATTGCTTTTCCCTGCATAAATATATACATGCTGCTGTGTGCCTATTTTAGAGAAGTCAAGGTCAAAAAAGTATACTTCCATTTGAAGCAGCAATTCCCACTGTGGCTCCTATAGAAGGTTATTTTAAAATCTTTGCTGAAATAAAACTTAATTGCCTGAAGAACCAAAGTGACAGTGTCTGAAGGCTTTCTTCTGACACTTGTGCTTCGTGGAGTGCCGAATGGAGCCAGCCTTTAAATACCTTCAACCTCTTAGGGGGCCAAATTTGGTCAAGAAAACTGAGAACAGTATCACTGAAAGGTTGCTTGCAAGAAACCACTGAAGCTGTCCAGTCCACTCTCACCCTCCAAGCAGGATTATCAGCAGAACTGAGTCTGGTCATCAGTAGGAAACACCCCAAAGATGGCCACCTGGCTGGGTGCCTCACTGCACTCCTGGGAATATGGGTTGGCTAACTTGACCCTCCCTATGCAGAATCATGATTGTTTCCTCCTGATACATCATCTGTACCTTCTGAGGAATTTTGGCTCTCTCATTTTCATAACTCTCCATAGTGAATTAGTTATAAATACCTACTAGATCACTCCTTAGTCTCTAGGTCACCATGCACATGCCCAGCTCCCTCAAAGATCACATATCCTGCAGTCCATCTTGGTGGCCCACTGATGGACTATCAAATAATTTATGTATTTACTTAATTGAAACATCGTTCTGTTCTGAATAACACTTCCTAAGTCACTGGGATTTATGTTTAAACCTGCTGTAATGCTATAGAGTCCAAAGCTGCATCATCTGCTGGGCAGGACAGCACAGAGAAAGATAGAGGCTCTTTCAGATGCTATTATGCAAGAGCACACACAGAGAATTCATCCTCCCCACAGAGAAAACTGTACTGCAGCTGAAATTACTTCAACATACACCTCAGGTCTAAACTAAAACTCTTGCATGTATCTTTTTAGCATTCCATATGGCTGTGGTTTGGCCACCATCCCCAGACCATTTTGATTGGAGTCATATCACCTTACACAACTGAACAATGCACTATTTCATGCATTAAACTGCTCATATCTTAGCTCAGCTCCTTCTAGGTACTGCCAGGTTGCATAATGTCACAGTCAGCTACGCCATCCCAATGAATCTTTGTAATGACTCCTGGTAAATTTTCAGTAGGTCTGGAAGAGGATTGACCCTCTTGAGAGGATGGAGGCATATGAAAGGTCAGTTAGCAGAAGCATGCTTCTCCTGATACTATTGTTTGTCTTGCACCAAATATTTAAAATTTCAGGATTAGCAACTAATATCTAAAGTGAATACATCAGCAGAATAACCACAGCCACAGTTTCATTAACAAACTGAACAGGCTAGAAATTAGAATGTGGAATATATTTTTAATATACAATCTAGTGTTTAGCTCAGAGCAGGAGCAGCAGAGTCTGGCCTGCAAAATACCCCTCGAATACCACCTAATGCTTAGGCCAACATAGGATCTACTTTTTACAGCTCTTGTGTCAGTCACTTTCTTTCCAGTCACTAGTCTAAAAATTGCCTTTTTATCCCTGAACATTTTGACTTCAGAAAACCACTTAAGTAGCTTTAGTTCAGGACTGTGTCAGCTCCACTCTAGCCTGAGCTACATCATATTTTCCTCAGTCAGACCTTTTTGATCCAATGCATCCAGTTCACTGGTTGTTTTGACATCTGCATTCTGAGAGCCATGGTATTCCAAAATGGCAACAAATAAAACAAACTAAAAAAAAAACCAACAACAA